CCCCAAAACCCCAAAACCCCAAAACCCCAAAACCCCAAATATGAATAGTGTCATTGAAATTGACTTTTATTAGAAAATTTACAATTATTCTTGAGATGGTTAAAGAAATCTGAGAATATCCTATTTATTAAAAACATGCTCTAAAACAAAATAAAGATGCTAACCTATCCCTCTACATCTCAATTCCCATTTACCTTACAAAAACCCTTCTACCCTTCAAAACACCCTAACCTACTCTCTCCAATGCCCTTTTCACCCCAAAACCAACCTCTCAGCCATCCCTTCCCCCTCTCACCCAACCCCCCTCAAAACCTCTCTACACCCTCAATCCCACGTTTCCTGTCCCCTACATAATTTCCACTGTCTTCTTCCCAGCCACGCCTTCTTGGCCAAGCCCACATTTCTTCCTACAGCTAGAGGTTTAGCTCAGGTGGGGACCGTAGACTAGGACGAGTCTTAGAGTCTTCAAAACTGTTCTTCGTTTTGGGCCAGAAGTGGTAATCATTGCAATTAATTTTATCAGACTTAAGAAACATAAGTAATCTTAAACAAAAACTCCCCATTGGACCTTTCACATCATATTTCTTACTGACCGGACCTCAAAAACGAAGGAATTACTATCAACCTCCTGCACCCTCCATCTCCCTTCCTCTCCCCTCCCATTCTCTCCTCCCTCCCTCCCTCCCTCCCCCAAGTCACCTCCCTCACCCCAAAACCCCTCAAAAATTCTTTCTGGTCAGCCCAAAGAACTAGAAAACGAAGGAATGGTAGAAGAACTGTTATTCACCAAGATTAGCAGGCAGTTCGAGCAGTTCAAGAATTTTGGCCTTGAACAGGGCAGGGTCTGCGAATGAAGAGTTAGCACGTCCCATTAACTTTCTCCAAAAAGCAGTAATCATGGTTTGATCTTGGTCTGTCAGCATCAGCACTTTTGCTAGCTTTATCATAGGGTTATGGTAAAGAGATCTCTCCCTCGCTCTAGCGTTTCCTGATCTGGCATCATTAAAATTCAAAATAATCATCTGTGAGTTTGATAAATTGCTTCTTTTGCTTTTCTGTGAAGCTATAAGCAGAGTATGCATAATATATATTATCAGGTTGCGATCTTTTAATAATATCCAGTTTTTAGACAGAATGAGAAATTATTAATAATGTGCTTAGTCATCCACAAAAACTCGTAGGATAAGTGATTAATTCTAAATGAAATATCTGGATAGCATATCCTTAACAAAGAAGCTCTAGCTCATTAACTCAAAAAAATTTGGAAGTATATTAATTGAGGGAATAAACAGCTATTAATAATTACTACTAAAATGTCCAATCTTGCAATTAGAAGAAAGCAGGTAGTAAAATCAAAGGAGAATTCTCTAACTTTACTCAAAATTAGCTATCTAAAAGACATACAAGAGTCAGGTTCTCTAATAAAGATGCTGAACTTTTTGTAAAAATAAAAGATTTTCTCAAGAAAACAAAATAGGTTAAAATGTAGATCAGGTAATGATTTTGCAAACAAAATTCTTAAACCTTGCAAAATTTTTGTTAAATGATCTCAACTAAACTAGAGTGTGAATTAATCCTCACATATAGGCATAAAGAAGTAAATTTCGATTTTATAGATCTCAGAGGCTTGTCTGTTTTCCTACCCCAAACTAATTTTGAAATAAAAGTGCAAATGATATCTAAAACCCTGAAACCCTTTGCCTACCCATCTCCGGTGTTCAAATAAGTCTCGAACCCCTTCTTCGACTTGTACAAGTAAGTGATGTTAGCAAACAGAGTATTTTTAACTCTGGCTGTTAAATTACAGTTATAAAAATCAGCAAGGTAGTCTTTAAAGTAAGCTTCAAGATGAGCTTCAGCCCAGGCCTTAAAGAAGCTAGAGTCATTATTTGATCTGACGCCTGATTGAAAGCGGCTCTCTCTTCACAAGCTGGCGGATATAGAGCTTTATGATTTCATTTGAGCCTCTCAAAGCTCTTTTAACCATGGAGTCACGTCTAAAAATGTTTGGAGAGACTTTAGACTTTCTCGCGGTTCTTCCTTTCTTCACAGGGGTTTCATTAAGAGATCTTTCAGGGACTTCAATTTCACATTGAGTCGATATATTTTCTCCATTTGTTCCAGAAGAAGTTGAGTGCATGTTATTGTCTTTCTCGGGAGAGCTCTCAGATAAAGAACTAGAACTTCCAGTGCTTACTTCGCTTCTTTTCGAGAAATATTTGGGTTCTGCCTTAGTAAGAAATTGCTGTTCAAGAGGAACAAGCTTATCAAGTTCTTTAGCATCATAATCTTTGATTACATTGTTATGGAAACTACGATACTTCTCTATATTCGACAACACTTCACGACTTTCAAAATGTAGAGCGTCACTATAAACAGTAAGATTACATTAAAATATCAAGACTTACGTTTCCTCAACTAATTCTTGGAACTGTTGATCTTCTTGGTCAAATTTAACATAAGTATCTTGGAGGAGATCAAAACTTTGATCATCATCTTGTTCTCTAAACTTCTCTTCCTCTGCTGGATTGCTCACACCTATGTGAACTTGTTCTGCCTTCTTTTCCTTCTCAAGAGTATCTGAGAAGATACTCATATTATCAAAACTCATATTGATTATAAAATCAATAATAGGCTGAGCTTATGGGGTTTTGGGGTTTTGGGGTTTTGGGGTTTTGGGG